CTAATATAGGTTTTGTTGTAGTTGAATTTGAGATTAATGTAATGCAATAATTAATCCCATAAAATTTATGTTACTATTATTTTAAACTAAAGTGAATGATTAATTACAATCTTTTGTATCCAAATTTATCATGTGACGCATCTCCAAGGATCAAAGTGGTAGGAAATTACAGAAAAAGTGGAGAAAGAAAGAGTAATGAATAAAAGAGCAAGCATAAACTTATCTCATATGGGCAAACTAGGATATTTTCGGGCTTTGTGCTCTATTTTATATATTGTAACTGAAGGGTTACAAAAGAGGAGATGAGAGATATCACCTTACAGAGTACGGGTCTAGAAAGAACTAAAAGACCTTTTTCTACATGCATTGAACTATTTATAAAAAAAAAGGGGTCATAAAGTGGAAAATTATGTATCAACCTCTGCATTAATAAGGAGGTTACTGGATATTATTGTCTTTTGTCATATCTTTCCTTACTTATATTTGATTTTCACGTCATTAATGTTCTTAGACCTTCGGTTGGTAGGTCTATAACTTGTTTAACTGCGTTGGTGTCAGTCGGCAATTTCTTCTGAATGTTGGTTGGTCTTTGAGAGTGGTAGTAAGTCAAGCCTAGTGTGGTCGGTTGACTTGTTTGTTCCTTGATAAACTTTGGGGGCAGTGTTGAGAGAGTCTCACACTGATGCTTATGAAAATGCAGCAAGGAGATTGTTCTCTTTCAGTTGTGCTGGGTGGCTCTTTGGTCATTCATTAGCCTTTCAAACGACTGGCGGTTCTAGATCCAGTCAGTTTTATGAGTACTTAACTTTTCATTAGAGTAATACTCTTTGATTTTTCCTCCTTAATATGAGTCATTAGAATATCTCGAGATTCATGCATGTCATTTTTGGGTGTACATACTAAGTTTCCTAGTTTTCTTACTCCTTAATAGGGACATTTGTGGGAAGGAAAAAAGAAAATTTTTAATGCAATAAATGACTTGTATTAATCATAATTTAATGTAGACTTCCTATATTTTTGTGCTCGTGACCCTTATATATAAAGCATAGGAGGTAGTTCGATCATCTTGAGTTTGTTCTCTCTTGCACTCACTCAGTTTATGTGATTCAACTATGGAAGAAGGGTCTGACTCAACTCTAAAACCTGTAGACCGAGCTAAAATGTTAGTTGACATTGGAATAGGACAACACCGGACTGAAAGTGAGCTAAAAAAAAAAAGAGGCTGGCTAAGAAGCCAAAATCAACAAAGCGGGATGAGATAAAAGAGTCCTCTGACTCAAGATGGGAGACTTCTGAGAAAGTTCAACCCAACACTGGGAAGGATTTGAGTGGCTCAGCAGTCGACCCATCGATGAAGACCCTCGCTCACGTTCAGATCCAACTGGGGTTGCAAATGTTACCCCATTAATTAGGGTAGAAAGAGTCGGTAGAAGTGACCCTTTGGTAGGTGAGAAGGAGTTGGTTCATGACTTCCCGTCTTCTGATGTGGGTGGAGCAACCTAGTCTGAAGTGATTTGAATTCTGAGTAAGTGATTTCATTCAATTTCTTTTTTATTTGAGTTTCTTATTGTTCTTTCATTGATTTTTGTTTCTTCTAGATGAGGACTCATGGATTAGGTGAGTGTTGGTTGTTGATGATAGCTAAAATCCGACCTTTTTAGCGGACCTCATTCCCCAAGCGTGGATGGAAGCGAAGAGAATGTGGTCGATTGCCCTCCTATGGAGGCTCTGGAGGAAACAATTAAGGGACTTTTGATGTTCCCAAGAACCTTGACCCACCGCTTGGAATAAGTGGAAGCTACTCTGACCAAGCAAGATGAGGAATTTCGTGTTATGCTGGAGGAAATGTTGGGGGAGGCAGTCAGTCTTCGTCGAAAGGTTACAGAGCTCCAGAAAGATGTGTTTGTGCAGAGGGTTCTGAGCCCGACAAAGAGAGCCAGTTCAAGCTCGACAGTCAAATAATGTATAGAAGATTGGTTAAGAGAGGTTTGGTTCTGGCTGAGACAATGGAGAACCTATTTGTAAAGTGTCTTTTCTCGGACTAGGGTACATTAGCGTTTTAACATATATAATATATATATACCCATCTCAAATTTACTGCTGACATGATGTTTTTTTCTTGAAATCCTTGTGAGGCATTTCCACTTCCGTTGGAATTCTATAATGGGTTTAAGGGACCCATTGAAATGTCTTTTTCCTTTTCCTTCTTGTCCTTGCCACTTGTTTTATATTTTTTTCTTGTTTGGCTTTAGCTGCTCGAACTTCTCTTCTATCATCTTATGGCTCCTAAGCGAACTAACCTAACCTTTGGACTGCTGACTGCGGCCAAGTGATCTATACTATCTCCATCTGAGGTTGCTTTCATGGAGGAAGCCTTCATATTCAACTCGGCCATCAAGCTAAGAGTCGCCTGCCTAGATCAAAGGATGATTGGCAAGTATGAAAATGACTTGGTGGTTTACCGGGATTAGTTTCGGTATGGATTGTGTCATGAACTTAGGTCCATTTTCAATTTGTATGAGGTCATTCTTGCAAAAGTCAAGCCGAACTCAATTGCTACAATAATGAACTACATTGTTTTTTGCCGGCAAAATGGAATCTCGTAGTCGACTGATCCATTCAGTCATATATTCTCCTTTCGCGTGGAGTCAATCGGATATGTTCAACTTGAAATACCGGCAGGTTCCAATTTTTCAGATCTGAAAACAAATTTAAGAATTGGAAATATAAAATTTTCAGCACCTTATTGTCGGAGAGCTGGTGTGTAATGACTATTCCGACCGAAAATGTCTCCAAGAAAAGTAAGGCATTGATTACTCCCAGATTGAGGGGGTGACATTGAGGTGATCTAATCAAAAAATGACTAATGATCTTTATTTGGGTGGAATTGCTGGTCTCATTATACTTCGTGCTCAAACATAAAACAGATGCAGAATGAACAGTCAGAGCAAGCTGAAGAGCAGGCACCCACTCCTTGGGTGGAATTGCTAGTGTCATTCCACTTCGTGCTCAAACATAAAGCCGGAAGCCAGAATCAAGTAACCAGCGCATTGAGTCGCTGTCACTTGCCGATCACCTCCATGCAGGCTCGAGTTGTGTGATTTAAGGTAGTGAATGAGTTGTACGGCGCATATGAGAATTTTAGGTAAATTTAGGTACAAAGTTAGGAGAGGCCCACAAAACCATACCATAGAAATGATGGTTATCTCTTCCGTCGGAACAAGTTGTGTGTTCCCAAATGTTCACTAAGAGAAGCCATCACTTTGGAGAGCCGCAACGGGGGACTAGCCGATCATTTTGGCATAGACAAGACCCTCACACTAGTGAAGGAACACTTTTTTTTAGCCTCGAATGACAAGTGTCGGGTCACATCAAATCTTTATTTGGTCAACCCACATCTTTCACAATAACTTAGGTGAATCTTGTTGCTACCTTTGAGAGGGTAACTATCGGGACTCGTTACCGAGAGTGAACCTCCTCTAAAGCTACATTGATATTGAGCTTTGAGACTGACTTTTTTTTATGCTTGACATTGTGGTTTGGTGTTCTTGCTAGGGCGTCAATCGGATGAATATAGCATTGATGTTTGTCGCTTTTGTTTTTAATAGTGTTGTTCGGCTAACATATTATATTTTTCAAGGTCAAAATTAATCGGTCAGATCATCATCTTGATCAGATTTTGTCTTTCACCTTACCCTTTGCGAGCTTATCATTACCAAATAAGGAACCACCTCCAGAGCTTTATATGATTCAAGCTCAGAGACCAAGAATTTTTTTATGCGGGAGCGTGTGGGATATTTTGTCGATTAGGCCTCTTTGGATTTGATGTCGGCGTTATTTTGTCGTTCTAAGTTTCTGAAGTGCTAACTGAACCTAGGAGGATATTAGAATAATTCACCATAATATTAGAAATTTTTTTGTTGATAAGGTTGTCGGCTGTCGGGGACAGGCCGAGTAGTGATTTAGTATAGTCGTTCAGCTCATTTTGATCGTCAGGAGCAAGACATCTATTTTAAGGTACTCTCCTCCCAGCCAAAGGATATAGGAAGACAATGAAAATGATGTTTCAGGCTCCAAATCCATTGCATGAACTCCTTATCATGCTCTCTGTTTAAGAGTCTTTGAGTTCTATTTCTCCTCAATGATGTCGCTTTCCTTCTTATTGGTAGCATGCTTCGCGCACACCATATAATTTAGGATGTTAAAGCGAAATTTGTAATGTGAGGCATACTTAAGGATCAAAGTGGTAGGAATCTAAAGGGAGGAGAGAAAGAAAGAGGAAGGAATAAAGAGCACGTATATAATTACCTCGTAGGAGCAAACTGGGGAATTCTCAGGTTTGTGACACATTTTATATATCGTAATTGAAGGATTGTAAAAGAGAAGATGAGAGAGATCTTCATACAGAGTATAGGTTGTACAATTTTAATGTGATCGATAGGGTTGCTTGTTTCTTGGTGATCTTGAGGGAATATTGAAAGAGCCTCACATTGATGCATGAGATTGTAGGGATACTAGACTTTTGTAAGCTAAAATTAAACAGCTCTTGATGACTTGGAACAGAATTCAATCTCATGGTGTCTATGGTCGGCCTGATCAGCAAGGAGAGCAATTTAAACTGGGGAGGACCCGGACGAGGTAATTAAAAAAAATAATAAGTTAAATTATTTTTAAAAATAATTAAATACGTTATAAAACATCAAATATAATGCATTTCAAATACAAATATAAATAAAATATAGATAAAAATAAAAATAAAATTGATAAGTGATCCCTAAACTTAAGGTCATATAAGCTTCATCCTTTACAAAAATTACGGATGTACTCCAAATACGCTCAGGACATACAGATTACACACCCAATATTCTCTGAAGTGACAAAAGAAAAAAATGGCAAATCCATTAATGCAGGCAAAACTCTCCCTCCCTCTCTCTGTATCTCTCCGTGTGTTTCCGGAACTAATAACAAGTACAAACTAAAGCTGAATTTGACAAGAGCTCTAGAAAACAAATCAACAACCTAAATAAAATATGTACAAAACTATTAAAAAGGGATAATCTTCCATGCTACATTATATACAGACAAGCAAGGAGCACTTACAGAGCATAAATCCTTTTTTCATGATCAGAAAGAGCATCCGGATCTGAATACCCAGAATGATGAGACCATGAGAAGGATTTGCTTCCGCTTCCTCTGCGGATCCGCCTCTGTGAATCTTCCCCGAGCTTGAACCGCTGTCGAAGAACAAGGTAGCTCATCATCACCAGCGTCCCAATCATTATAGGCCCTCCGATTAAGGTCACCGTCATCGCCATCCACGACGATCCCCCCACAACCACAAAAGCTATCGACAGGAATGCTCCGCCGGTGCTGAGGCAAGCAGCCCACATTAGCTTGTTAACGACCTGGACCACCTGTTTCTGAGCATCCGTCTCCCACGCAACTAAAGTGATCTGAACCACAACCACGGCGAGGGAAAGGAAGAGAGCGGTGGCGTTCAGGAGGCAGAACACGCGAAATCCAGTTTTACCGGCTATGTAAGCCTTGCCAACTTCGGGACCATCCTGGAGATACTGGCCAGGGAGGTTGAAGATGGCGACGAAAGCAATGGAGGCGACGAGGGTGGCGACGACTGTTACGGAGTTGATGGTGTTCTGAACGGCTTCTCTGTGGAGTTTTTTCAGCTCTTTTGCGATGCCTGAAACACGGCGGTTGGTCTTGGCGTTTTGGATGAGTTGGTTCTGGACGTCGTGCTTGATATCGCTCACGGTTCGCCTTAGCTCTGATGCTTCGTCGATCCGACCGATGTTTCGGGCATTCTTGGCGCCGGCTTCTGTTAGGGTTTCCATTATGTCTAGCTGGGATTCGCCGTATGGAATCTTCTCTGCCAAGTCCAATGAAGCTTCGTTCTGATTGTTGATGGCGTTTACTTCCACGGATTCGTATCTTAGCAGACGTTGCACCATCTGAGAGGCGGGAATCATATGAGGTTCTTAGAAGTCAGGCAAAGATGCATAATGCGAAGGATAAAATAAGAAAGGATGCTAAAAGAATATGATGAATGAGTCATTTCAGAAGTAGATTGAATTAAATTTTTTGGAGGTAAAGACATTTGTGTTCTATAAATTGAAGAAAAAAGATGAGTCCTCAACATCAATAACACAAAAATCAAATTATTGTGAGTAGATAATCAGTGCTTTTAAACTCCCATCTGGTCATGCTTGGCAAGCCAATGATTTCCCAGGAGTGAACTGACAACAACCGTCTTCATGGATAAAATAATAAATATATGCTATGATGTTCGGAACTCTACCGAGGCTGTAATCTGCAATTCGATAGGAAGCAGATCAATACAGATACCCAATATTTCATAACAGAATCTTCTGATTTTCATTTGTCAGGGTTTCATTACAGAGCTAGAATCGAATTTTATCAAGTTTTTGCTCAAACTAGTATGTTTTTGTCCTTCGCAGATGTTTTCAGGACAGAAAATATTAGAAACTTGCATGAAATGATATTATTTAAAAAATATCAGTAAAGCATACATCAGATAGCTTCTAAATTAAATAACCTCAAGTCAGCTGTCTAAGTACTGGTAAAGGCACCAATTTTGTTTTGCTGTTTTCACTATAGCAAGACAAAACAAAGGGAAGAAATAAGCATACACAGATATCCTTTTTACAGTGATTTCACGGCATAGATCCAGTAGCTTCAGAATCACGTTCTCTACTTCATCACAATCATTCCATGCTTTTCTTGAAGAAGCAGTTGTTTTTTTGACATTCCTACCTAATCATTCAACATTTTCTATCAGCCAGTCTTATAATTGCATTTATCTTAAGGTGGGCTTGTTTGAAATAGTAGCATTACTTTTTCAGCAACTGAAGTCGTGCATTTGTTTTTATCCTTGTACACGCTAAAAATGCAATCTTACTGAAGAGGATAGTTAGGAATCAACACAGAAATCCTAAGATTCTGCTTGAAATTCACACATTCAGTGAAGAACCTCAATTATAAATTAAAACGAGTTGCATGTGTTATAAATAATTACATGCCCAAAGTGAAATGCTTTTCCTATATTTTACTTCAGAATTGACTTAGCATGGCAAACTAAATCAAAATTCATATTTTTCAGATTTTGCCAAGTCTCATGTTGTTACCAAGAATGAAATCCAAACTGCGGGACTAAAACATTATTCCAACCTAACAACTTGTTACTAATGAATCAAATATGAAGCCTCATCATTGTTCCAGTCGTAGCTTAGTGCCAAGTAACTAAAATTACATATTCTTAAAAGGAAAAGCTATGTCTACAATCAATTCTGGAATTCGTACCTGATAATAATAACAATGGAGCACTAAAACTCAGAATCTGATAATATAGTGATATTAGCTGAAAACGGATTAGAGTCTGAAACATTTTCAAGACTCTTCTTGAGAGAGAACTTTCATTGATGGAACTAAGAATAAATCAATAAGAGAAAATAATAATGTATGCATGTACATACACGCACATGAGCCCACTGAACTTACATGAATACATAATGATTATATTAGTTGATAGCAAGAGATAGGGGATCCGACAATCATTTCTCATGGCACATCTTGAGTTATGAGTAATAATAATTACTATGGCCATACAAAGTGGCACCCAACAAAATTGGCGGATAGCAGGGTATCGGGCATTCAATAGAAGATACACATGTCCTTACATAAACAATAACTATGTATATTCATGGCAGGACATATGACAGCCGACAATCATTTTCAAAACCCCTCTCGAGTTATAAACTGTTTGCAAGAAAATATTGAAGCAAGGAAAAGACGCAGAACAACTTTAATTATGCTTGACTTCTGAATACACAAAGAACTACTAGAGAACAAAGACGCATTAATTTTTTGTTCAATTACAACTTGCATCCATCATTTTAATGCAAAGCATACATAACCCTTGTGTTTTAATAATATGTTCTTAGCCACCATATATCTTTAACAAAATGTGTAATTGTTATCATTTTTTTTTCAATTTGACTCGGGAATTGTGAAAGGCCTACTTATCCTTGTAATAGCCTCTGCTTTATTTAACAATATGGAACTCCAATTTCGGCCAGTCGTCAACAATGTGCCCTCCAGGGATGCTACCGCCTTTACAGAGAACATCTATGACAACCGCTGTGAAGTAAAAAGAGGCAGAGTGGGGTGAAGAAGTTGTCAATGAAGTATGTTGATGGAATAGAAAAACGTTCTCTTGTCTTTGTTATTCATTGTTTTGGCTTTTGTTCATCTTGTAACTGAAGTGTCAAAACTGAATGATGAAGAGTCAAGATAAAAGATGGTAAAAATAAACAATTCCATTCTAATGCCAAAATGTATTAATGTTGAGAAGTCGAGATAGAAGATCACTAAAAAAAAATTCCATTTGAAGAGTGTAGAAATTCTGTTATAGGCAAAAGCCAAAAAGTGGTCAAAGAAGAATCTATCTAAGGTGTGCGCCAATGGCAATGAACTCCTCCATTAACGCTGTAGCAACACCAACTGCCCCCTTCTGTTCAGGGCTCCTACCAAACTGTACCATTCTGCATCATACTACAAACTTTGTAGCATTATAAGTGACAGCTTCAAAATAAATGAGCTGGACTGGAATGCATTTTATAGTGAAACGCAGAAGAACCGTGACATGGGTTTCCTTGACGGGAAGATGTAAAATTGAAATGCAAAACTAAGGATATTTTGGGGAGAAAATAAAAGCTTTAGGAAAGGGAAAAAAGGACGTGGCAAGGCATAAGCCTTGAGAAGTTTTGAGGCATAAGCATTGGAAGTTGTTGAAATTTGTACCTAATATAGGGTCTTAGTTGTAAATAAAAGAAGTCCAGGGATTTATTTGTAAATGTTATAAGGCTTTATATAAGCCCAAGTCATTAATGAAATGAGCAAGTTTTTCAGACCAATTGATTCTTTATGGTATCAGAGCCCTAATCGCCTGTCCTCCTTGATCAATCAGTCAGGATCAGCATAGAGAGACCCGAAACTCCCGCCTCTCCTCGATCAAACCAGTAGAGATCGGTGCAGAGAGACACAAAACTCCTATTTCACTCTTTCTTCAATCGCGGTCCTCGTGAAGTAGCAGTGAATCACACAATCCAATCGGGATCAGCGAACACAGACCCAAATCGGCATGAAGAAACTCAAAACTCCTTTTTTTTTCCGCTTGGTCCTCGCGAAACAGTCAGCACTAGAGCTAACAAAGGTTTCGGGTTCGGTGAGAGGGCGTGTAGAATCGTGACATAGGGAGGTAAGGTTGTTGAGATATTTTGTGGTGCTTGGGAATGAGGAAGGCAGCAAAGTAGGGCTTCATTTCTGAAGTTACACTCGATGACAAGGAGGCAAAGGATCGAAGCGGTTGTGGTTTTGTGTGCGGGACAGATAGGTTGCGGCTTTGTGGACTAACACAAAGCGGATCACACGAACATGCAGGAAGAAGATCTAGATTTGGATTCTTGTTGTTGAAGATGTCAGAAGGCAGAGATAATATGAGAGGTAAAGGATTGGAACATTTGGGGAAGATAGATGCTGAAATTCTGAAGATATTGGTCGTGCTCATACAAGGAAGTAGCGTCTCGGTGGAAGCCACTACCTCAACAAGTGCTCCGACACAATTGAACTAGATCTCTCTTCTATGGATATGAAGCTCGATGGACCAACCACTTATCTGAGTTGGTCGGGTCGGATCGAGGCTGCTCTAATATGGAAGAGACTAGAAGAATACCTGACGGTGGTCGAGCCAAAGGGTAACAGTGCTGAGGGAGATGAGTGGAGGACCACACATCAATTGATTTATGCCTAGCTACTCAACTCGATGGTTCCATCGATTGCCACATTAATGGATGGCATTCGAAAGGTGAATGACAGTTGTGCAAAGTTGAAGAGAACCTATGTTCGAACTGATAATCACACGAGAGTATTCCAAATTCAATGTAACATAGACGCAGTGTTACATGGTGATAGATCGATCCAGGAGTACTCCATAAAGCTGGAGCGGTTGTGGCAAGATTTTGATCGCTTCTCACCTACATCAACTTGTGGTGATCCGGGATGCAAGAAGGAGAGATCTTTTCACAGACGAGGACTATCCAATTTCTAGGTCATCAGAACCCGACCTTTGATCAGAGGAGATCTGTCCTCCTAGCCCAGACAACGATTTCTTCACTGGATGAGGCCATCGTTGCGATGTCACAAGATGAGAGTTGCATGATGCTACACTATGAGCCAAGTGGACTTCCAGGTACACGCTCAACTTTGGTTGTCTCAAACTCAGGTAAGACAGGTTTCCAAGGGGAGACCCGTAGATGCTACAACTGTTGAGAAGCGGGACGCCTGAGCAAGGCTTGTCCAAAGTCATCCAAGGAGAGAGAGACAGGGGTGGACAATGTAGAGGTTGTGATCGTAATCGTGGGAGCCAAAGGGGTAGAAGAGGAGGCCATAGAGGAAATCTGACAATTACGGAGAATGAGAGAGAAACAGATGTGGTTTTTACCGATGAAGATCACAAGCTCTTAGAGATGTTGAAGAGGAAGCAGAGAGAGGCAAGTGATGCGACTGAGGATGCATCTACTTTATCGTTATCTAAGGGGAATAATGTTACTTATGTTCACTCAACCAAAAGTACTCTTGATATACATGCTCTTATCTCTATATCCACCACAAGATCACCAAAATGGATAGTAGATTTCGGTTTATCTCGACATGTGACAAGTGTTGCTAGTCAGTTCTCCTCATATACTTTCCTAACAATTCCGGAGAGCATTCAGACCTTTGATGGACACAGCCTGTGATTGGTAAGAGTGCAATGAGGTTTAATAATTCTTTAACTATGTCTAATGCTTTACAGGTTCATTCCTTTCCAACGAACCTTTTATTTATTGGTGTCATTATACTGCAACTACAATGTGTTGTTTTATTTAATATT